GGAGCAATAGAAATTCTCTTTTATGTTTTGCTTTCTTTCATTTAATAGTATGTCTTGGAAATCACTCCATAGACCTCCCTATTTATTTATTTATTTACTTACCTATTTCAGCTTCAAATACGCCAATGAGTGTCAGTCATTAATTTTTTTTTAGCTTTTCTTTTAAATCACTTTTAATTGGAGGCTAATTACTTTACAATATTGTGGTGGTTTCTGCCATACATTGACATGAATCAGCCATGGGTGTACATGCGTCCCCATCCTGAATCCCCCTCCCACCTCCCTCCCCATCCCATCCCTCAGGGTCGTCCCAGTGCACCAGCCCTGAGCGCCCTGTCTCATGCATCGAACCTGGACTGGTGATCTGTTTCACATACGGTAATATACACGTTTCAATGCTATTGCCTCAAATCATCCCACTCTCGCCTTTTCCCACAGAGTCTAAAAGTTTGGCTTTTAAGAGAACTCACAGATGCAGGAATGGGAAGGGAGTAGTACTTGGGAGAAGAACAGATGGAATGCTATCTTCAGAGGGTACCAAGTACCAATATAGAGGAGGCCTGAGCAAATTTATATGCAGAGAAAAAAAAAACGAGTAAAAAAAAGAAACGTCTGCAGTGTCAGAATGATGGGACAAATACATTTGATCTTAGTCAAAAGGCCAAGAAGCAGTTGATGGGGGAAATAAAAGGCTGATAATGGAATTTTCAGAAAGACACTAAATATTTTCAAGTATCTTTGGAAATAATTGTTTGACAATTACATTCTAGTTCCTATTATATGCTGGCTTTTGTGCAAGGTGATCTGGCATCATTAATCAAGAGGACATCCTCCACCATCTCTGAGATTATACAGCCCAGTCTAGAAGACACAGACAAGACAATATACAAGTAAAATGGAGTGACAGAATGAGGAAACATACAGTGCTGAATTAGGTCTATGTAATCTAGACTTGAGAAAAATCTAGAAACTAATACCTAATTTATATCATAAAGTTGATAGCATAAGATCTATATCTGTTTTCCTTAAGACACTGTCTCCATCACCCTACACAGCCCCTGAGATAATAAAATATCTGTAGAATGAATAATCTAGAAACTGAAAGATTGAGACTGCCTGGAAATCTATATAATCCAAAAAGCCTTCCCACTATAACCACCTATAAATTTGGGGTAATACATAACAATTCTTTCAGTGAATAGATAAACTCCCCTGGTATCAAGAGAGAATGACAAACAGAATAGGAAGCCTCATGTGTGCTCTAGAAACAGGAAAGTGATAATGGGGAAAGAACAGCCAGACTCATTAACCTGGGAGCTTGACTTTTAATGCTGACACTGTCCTAAGAACAGATCTTGGCACAAGTGAAGGGCACAGTTAGAATTAAGATGCTGCTCTAATATTAATATTGGCAACATAAGATGGCTATACACTTAGTAAAAAATGTGAGTCAGAAAAGATCAGCGCATTGGCCAGAGTTTGTATATCTCCTGTACACATTCTATATTAAAAATACTCTTGAGAGGCTGGAATGCACCTACCCACAGATGTAGGTGTTTGAGTTAGCATTCAAACAGCTGCCTGGCTGAGGCATCACCCAAGCAGTGATAGTGACACAAAGTGTGGACCTGAGTGATGAAATCCCTGCCACTGCTCAGACAAACCAATGCAGAGCTCCTGATAAAATGTGTCCAGCTCACAGCCCACACTGCACAAGACTCTCAGGGACAGCTCTGCTGAAGGTCCGCTTATAATACAAAATTTAAAAATAAGGTTACAGTTCACCATGAAAGAGCTAGGAGGCCATACACTTAACAAATTGAGACCCCAAGAATTTCAGAAAATGGAGCAATTTCATAGTGGCAATAAAATAAGTTTGTTTAAAATAATTCAAAACATAAAGGATGTAACCCAACCCACGAAAAGAAAAGAGCAACATTAAAAAAGAACAGATGACTGTAATATAACAGACGTGAAAAATATATGTAATAATACTGAATGGATTAAACAGGAAAGTAGTCAGCAGAAGAACAGTGAACTGGAAGACAAAGCTATGAAAAATAGACAAGACATAGCACAAACATATCACATTGGGAAACATTAAACAGAAGCTAAGACAGAAGAATGGAAGATGGATGATCCAACATACATCTAAGAGGGCTTACAGAAGAAAAAAATGGAGAAAATGAGGAGAGACAATATTAAAGAGACAATGACTGATGACTCTCATTTAAAATAGGATGAGTTCAAAACAAATAAATAAAAAATAGCTACACACATTCTAGTAAAACTGTTGACCATCAAAGACAACGAGAGACAACGAGACCTTAAAAGCAAACAGAAGTCACAGATTAAAAAAATAATTGTGAAAAGAACGACAATAGACTGTGGGCAGATTTCTAATACCAACAATAGAAGGCAGAAGACAATAGAATTATATCTTGACCTATAGTTGGGAAGGAAGGAAAAGATAGGCTAAGGGTAGGGCTTTCACTGTTTCTATTACATTTTATTTATTTAAAGTATAAAATATAAAGGACAGAGCTGAAGCAAATAAGGTCAAGTGTTAACTTCTGGTTAATCTTGATAATAATACATGGCTATCTGCATTGCTAAATTTTGTCCTTTTGTATATACAAATTATAATTTTAAAAAGTAAAGGATGAGTAAGAGTTAATCAGAAAAAAAAACAGGAGTGGAGATAAAGAGTGTTCCAGTAAAAAGAAATAGCCTATGCAAAAAATGCTCAGGAGCATCAGGGTGCATACGCATTCTAGAATATAAAGTAATGAAAAGTGGTTGAAATAACAGAAGTGACTGAAATGGAGGGAACTCTTAAGAGATCTGCCTGAAAAGAGAAGAGGGCCAGATCGCACAGGTTTCACAAACCATGTAAGAGAGTCTGGAATTTCCCCTGAGAGCACTGGAAGGCAATAATGTATTTTAAACAGGGAATGGAGACCCTACCCTAGTACATTTTAGATTTATCACTCTGACTGCTGTGTTTAATAAAGACAAAAGAATCTCCATTTATAATGTTCAGGTGGAAAACAACAGTGGTAGTGTGAATTTGCATGGCAATAACACAAATGAAATGGAGACAGATCCAAGAGATATATAAATTGGTAATGAATATGGATTTGACAGTAGGGATGTGTGAAAAGACGGTATCAAAGATACTATTATATGGAGATCATTTTGAGCATCTGGGTAAATGGTGATCCACTCACTGAAATAAGCAGACAGTGTTTTGGCTAAGAAGATAATGAGGTCACTTTTGGAAATACTAAATTTTAGGACTTGGTAGGATATCTAACAGGTATTTAGATGATACAGATCTAATGCTCAGGAAATAGACCCAGCCCAAAGATCTGAAATTGAAATTCATTAGCTTGCTCCTTGGAATAAAAGCTATGACAAACCTAGGTAGCATATCAAAATACAGAGAAATCACTTTGCCAACAAAGTATGGTCAAAGCTATGGTTTTTCCAGTAGTCACGTAAGGATGTGAGAGCTGGACCATAGAGAAAGCTGAGAGCTGAAGAACTGATGCTTTTGAACTGTGGTGTTGGAGAAGACTCTTGAGAGTCGCTTGGACTGCAAGGAGATCCAACCAGTCTCCAATCCTAAAGGAGATCAGTCCTAAATATTCATTGGAAGGACAGGTACTGAAGCTGAAGCTCCAATACTTCGGCCACCTGATGCGAAGAACTGACTCATTTGAGAAGACCCTGATGCTGGAAAAGATTGAAGGCAGGAGGAGAAGGGGACGACAGAGGATGAGATGGTTGGATGGCATCCCTGACTCAATGGACATGAATTTGAGCACTCTCCAGGAGATAGCAAAGGACAGGGAAGCCTGGCGTGCTGCAGTTTATGAGGTCGCAAAGAGTCAGACACAAGTTAGCGACTGAACAAGCATCTCATTCAATATGCGAATTGGAGTGGACCAGATAGGGGAAGTGAGGTCTGAGAAGAGAACTTAATAAATGACAGCGTTTGAGTGATGAGTAGAAAAAGAGAGGCTTGTAAAGAAAGCCAAGGATATACAAACAGAAAAGATGAAAGAGGAAAATGAATGTGGCAGTCATGGAGACAGACCACTCCAATCACCCTGGAAGAAACAGCTTTTGCTTTAGTTGTCAAGAGGCAATTAACTGCCAGCCTCCAACTACAGCATGTGCAGGATTTGTCACAGGGATTGAACCAATACTGCTGTGCTTTCCCTGGGAAGCCCAGAGCCAGAGACTGCACGCAGCAGCGGCACTAGAACCTAAGCTTTCCACAAAACGTGGGACTCCTCCAACCAGCAATGTTCACCCAAGAGCTCCTCGTGGGAATAAAATCATCTCATCAATTGCCAGGAGCCCGTCTTTGTCACTGGCCACCCCAGAACTAGCATAAATGGAACATTAACAGAGACTCCATCCCAATACCATAGACCCCCCTCACCACCCACTTATCAAGGCTGATCTGGCTACTACAAACAGTGAAAGTTCAATTGGTTATTAAAAGAAATCAATGTGGCATTATTACTTTATAGCACCACATGCCCACTCGGTGACAAGTTAATCACACTGAGCCCTTTCTTCCTAGAAGGACCAGTGGTTTATTGTTATAAGAGTGGACACTATTGGTCACTATTCATCTTTCCTGCTTCGAGAGCCTCACCACTATCTGAGAGATTTCAAAGGGTCTGATCCACAGGCATAGAATCTCATATAACAGAGCATCTGACCACGAGACCAGATTCAGAGAGAAGGAGACGGGGGGCAGGGTGGGTGGTGAACCTATGTCATGGGATCCCCTGGCCATATCAAGCATCATATCATCTAGAAATAATTGACTTTACAGAACAATGGAATAGCTTTCCAAAGGCACAACTGAAGTGTCCTCTGCCATGATGGAGTACCATTATGCAGGTTGCATATTAGGATATCGTGTCCCATTAGGATACTGTGTCCCCCAACTGGTTCAACATCTCAGTATCTGCCCTCACTGCGCAACGGCAGCCCGACCTTCAGGGATGATCAGAGAGCCACTCTGAGGCACCAGGCAAGCAGAGTGTGAAGTGGGGGAATCCAAGGGCGATGTCATCACTGACAAATGCTACCAAACGTTCAGTCCAGGGAAGGCTCTAAAAATGTCCACTGAATTTCACAACCAAGGCTGTTGGTGTCTTTGGCAAAGAAATTTTTCAGTTGAGTAATGGGGGCAGAAGCCAGATTGCACTAAGCTAAAGAGTGAATGGGAAGTAAAACTATCAAGAGAGAGGCTTGAGAAAACCACGACTGCTCTGCTGTGAAGGGAAGAAGACCAGGAAGCAAGAGTGGTAGATGGACTAAGATGTAAGAACTATAAAGGAGTGTCTTTTAGAAGACAGAGACTCAAGTGTGTTTAGGTAACAGTGGAAAGAATCTGGGAAAGCAAGAGAGCGGGGAAAAGTCTAGGATGAAGAGACCAGCAGGCAAAGGAAACAGGAGGAGAGATTCCTCTTCCTTTGCTGTGCAAGTGGAGGAGGTAAGGATGGACGTGGATGCTTTCAAATTAAGGACTTTCTGTTGCTTTGTTTTTGTAGCCAAATTCCCCCAACATCCCTGTATGGTCCATCTGTGTTCCTGAATATTTGATAAGTGTGGTGGTGGTGGTGGTAGTTTAGTCGCTCAGTCATGTCCGACTCTCGCGACCCCGTGGACTGTAGCCCACCAGGCTCCTCTGTCCATGGGATTCTCCAGGCAAGAACACTGGATGGGTTGCCCTTCCTTCTCCATTTGATAAGCGTAACCCCCCTGTATTCTTACTCCACTGAAAGAGCGTTCTTGAGAAATGAAGAGCCCCCTGTACACCTGAACAGTTACTTCCCTGGTCTTCCCACCAGTTCTTCAAGGTAGGACAGAGCCATTCCTTGGCTTCCATTTCACAGTGAGACACAGAAAGGTTAAGTGCCTTGCTGAAATGTTCACGACTCACTGAAGGTCTCCTGACTTCTGATCTCCATTTCTGTTGACCATGCTGTCTATAGTCTTGTCACATAGTCTTACAAGCATTTCCTTACTGCATGGACACCTCCATCCTCTCCTCTTCACGATGGCTTTTAGCTGACACAGCTTTAACCACGATATTTTCTCCTCCCCACTTTGCTATTGACATTGAAGATATTGGATACAGTATACAAAGAAAGCATAGCCCCTCCAGGTCCTTTTATTTATGTATGTATGTATTTATTTATTTTTGGTCATGAGATACACACTTTGTATAAATTGCTGTTTCTAAAGAGCAAAAGGGGGACGTCCCTCGTGGTCCAGGGGTTAAGAATCCACCTTGCACAGCAGGGGTGCAGGTTCGATCCCTGATTGAGGAGCTAAGACCCCACATGCTGCAGCTAGGACCTGAGGCAGCCAAATATATACAAATACAACAACAACAAACAGGTGAAATGAACCAGAACGTTGACTGTCACACAGAACCGAGTCAGACCAACACCTTAATGGATTCTTCCATGCTTCGTAGAGCGCATTTCAGAACTTCTGGCTTTGTTGTTTTAGATTCCAGGGATTGAGGATGGTTTTGAAATGGCAACTTGGTTATGCTACATAAGAAGGCCAGCCAAGCATTAAATAGGGGCATCTGGAGAGTCTGGAAATACTAACAGTTCTTTTTAGCCAAACTCTGACACAGAACAGATAAACCTTTGTTAAAGATTTACAAGCCGTATTGGGACAGAGACCCTCCCAGCTAGAATCGTGGTCACTTTACGTTTCTCACAGTAACTCCTAGGGGATGAATAGCTCTGGAAGAAGATAAGAAATCTTGTAAATCTGGAGAATGCCCCTTTTGCACAGCACACACATGTTTTTGCTCTTCTTAATAAAGCTGCACAGCCCTCAAGCTGAACAGCTGGAGGATGGTCCCTGCATGGAAGCTTGCCCTTCCCAAGTCACTGTCATGCCCACATTGAGGGTTAAATCAGGCCGGATCTCACAGCCTCTCGGACCCACTACTGCTGTGGTGAAAAAAGATAACGTGTGATCCAGGCTTTACTCTGGTTTACCAGGTACTGCACACGCATGCCACCGGCATGACCTCACGCGATCCTCACAGCCATTCCATGATGTGTGTGGGGCTAGCACGCTTTGCTAGCTTGTGCATCGAATGAGTTGAGCAAATAGTCTCCCTCCCAGTGAGTGGGTGGAGAGCTAGGATCATTGATGCATTTATGCCTGTGCTGGGTCTTCGTCACTGCCTGTATGCTTTCTCTAGTTGCGGCAGGCGGGAGCTCTTCTCTAGTTGCGGTGCACAGGCTTTGAACTGCGGAGGCTTCTCCTGTTGCAGAGCACGGGATCTAGGCATGTGGCTCAGCAGTCGTGGTGCGCAGGCTTAGCTGCCCAGGGGCATGTGGGATCTTAGTTCCCAGACCAGGGATTGAACCCATGTCTCCCACACCGGCAGGCGGACTTCTAACTGCTGGAACACCAGGGAAATCCCTGGAGAGTGAGGATTTGACCACATACCTTCTGCCTCCAAGTCCAGAGTGGGTTGGGAAGAAACAGCTGAGAAGTAAAGTCTGGTAAACATAAGAGGAAGAATAATTTGCTTCTCTCATATAACCTTTTTTATTCTCATCAAGTTTTCTTTCTTGGTGTATCAGTTAAATGTTTAATGGAGGTAGAGAATATGATTATAAGAAACACCATTACAAATGGGGTATTGTTTGAGTTCTGCAGTTTCCCTATAACAAAGAAAAGTCCTTAGCATAAATCCTGGCTCTTAAAAGAGTGAGAGTTTTGGATAATGGCTCATGCATTGCTATTAAGTCACCTCTTTGTACAAGTGTGGACTGAGATCACCACGAGATCCAGAGGGACAAGAACACGGTGTTCCTCGCCCAACTGGCTAGAAATAGTCTCACTCGCGGGACGGGTATTCTTAAGACCTTTTGACATGGGAAAGTAGTTCTGAAGCTCTAAGCCTCTGAGAATAAGTTTGTGTATGATTATGGTGCTCGGATCATTATATCTAAGGTGCAAGGCGTTTGGACAAGGAGTGGGGGAGCCCTTTATACCGGTGGGTCAGAAATGAACGTGCCTGAAAAACTCTGAAAGGAAACAAAATGTGGCCTTCTACACCTGCATCCCTACCCCCTCCCCGGGCCACTGGTCTGATCACCCTCGTTCTTTCTGTCCCAGCAACGTTGATGGAACATGCAAACATTATATTCAGTAAAAGAAGCCAGACACAGAGGTCACATGTATGATTCCATTTGCATAATATGGTTGGAAAAGATAAATCCATTCCCAGAGACAGAGAGCAAATTAATGGTTGGCAGAGGCTATGGACAGGGCAGGAATAGGGGTTGATCAGTACAGATTGCCTTGAGAGATGATGAGAGTTTGGAACTAGAGATCATGGCTGTAAACATTATGAATGCACTAAATACCACTAAATGGTGCACTGTATGAATTTCACATCAATGAAGGCAGGTGGGGGGGAGGAGAGGGGACAGAAAAGGACCAGATTAAGGACATTAACCACAAGACAGTAGAGAGAGCCTTGGATTTAGAGTTAGGAGACCTGCGTTTGAATACTCTTTTTCACTTATACGTGTTGTGACATAAAAGATAAGAGAGGTGACATTTCTTAAGTCTCCGATTCCTCATCTAAAGTGGAGTCAAACAACTACCTCACACGGCTACCGTGAGTCCTAAACGAGATACAGTATGTGAAAACACATAGTCTTGGGCTGGACACGGAGCTGACACACAGAACATCACGTAACACAAGAAAACAATGTAACAGTGATGGACTTTTTAAGGCAGGACAGGAAACCCACTGAATTCATACTATAGCTCAAACTGTTACAACACATAACTTGGATTAATAAACCATAGTAGATAAAAATATTGAATATTTTCAGAAATCTTCTCTGAAGGACTAGATGTTTTTGAAACTTAAGTTTTCTGGCACCGAGGCATTAATTTAACCCTAAAAATGACTGTTATGGCCAATTCTTAACGCTATGGCTGGGTTTGAATTATATTGAGTTACTCTCTCTCATCAATTTAAGATGCACATTAAAAAGAAAACTTTAATATCTGTGAAACCAGGAGTCCACTGATCAAAAGAGAGGCTGGTTCACCCTAAGGAACTTTCTACAGTGCCACCCTAGAGGTGATTCTCAAACCCAGAGGACAAAATGCCTCCTTCTATGGATGCCAACCAGTGCCAATACAATGGACATGAATGAAACATCCATGGTGATAGGGATTAAAATCAAAGAAGGGCTACTTCTCATCAAAGCGAGTCAAGATACCGCTTCTGTCAATGCCTGACCTGCGGACAGCAGAGCCTCATGCTGGACCATTAATACGGCAAATTTGCTCAGAAAACAGCAAGCCACTTGCTGGCAGTTTGGTTACATTGGACCCTTTCCCTGTTATAGAAAGTAGTGATTCATTTCAAAAAGAATCTTTACGTTGGGTTCGGGTTTGCCTCCCCTGATCTCAATGCCTCCACCAGGGCCACTATTCAAGGGCTTATAAAATTCTTGATCTACCACTATGAAACCCTGCACAATACTGAACAAGCAACTGGTACAACACTGCATCACAACATTCAACCAAGAGACACATTTCATGGCTGAGAAGGCACAACAAACAGAACATGACCACCACCCACTAATTCAACCGTAACTCATCGGGCAGAAGCGGACTGCCTAATAAAATGAGGGGCTGACCCACTACGGGCTCAGCTAGAGGAGGGACAGGGAGGCCTGGCGTGCTGCAGGCCATGGGGTCGCAAAGAGTCAGACATGACAGAGCAACTGAACAACAAGGTCGCAACTCGGAGGCTGAGTCCTGCATGGTTGAGGACCTGACCTAGTGAAGTACACACACACACTGAACCAGCAGCTGCTGTATGCTATCGTGTTCTTTAAAGCTAGAATACCTGGGTCTGAAGAGCTAGGGCTGTTGCTAGGATTGACCCTTCTCGCCATCACCATAGTGACCTACTTCTGGAATTGGAACTTCTCAATTTTGCTAGATTAGAGGTCCCAGTTCCTGGATGGACAGATTACTTCCATCAAGTAAAATACAGTG